ATTTAGGAAGGATTAAGGATTTTTAATGGATTAAACTTGGATTAAAGTTTCTGATATTGCCCCTCACATCATCCTTCTGAACATGATGTCCAACAGTGGGTTCACAGTGTGCTGGGTGAAGACCTGGCTGAAGGGCAGAGCTCAGCGGGGTGCAGTGACTGGGGCTGCATCTGGCTGGTGACCAGCCACCAGCAGTGTTCCTCAGGGTGCAGCTCTTAACAACACGGTGAAGATTTTGGTCAGCCCTGAAGTGGCCAGGCAGTTGTACCAGATGATACTTGTAGGGCCCCTCCCCTCCCCTCCGTCAGGCTTTTAATAACAACACAGAAGTAAAGGATTTTTCCACATTGCAAAAAATTCATTCCACAGACTGAAACTAAAGCCATCTAGATTATTAGTCGGGTGTCCTGTCAATAACTCTTTAGGAAAATAGATTTTTATTTGCCTGTTTTCTGCCCTTGAAATAATATAAATATTAACACAGAAAAAAGATATATGAAAGCAGACTGCAGTGGTGGCATTTGCCGGTATAGTACAGAGAACTGATCCTGTTCAGGATTTTTGAGGAATTGCAACATCCTCTCATGCATTAACCTAATGCAAAATCTACACTTTTCCTTGCCTTGGAAACATAACGAAGCTGTTATTCATATCTGTGTGCCTGTGCAAAGGGAGCAGGCTTGGTGTAACATACAAAGGCAAAACAGGATTTTTTTTTTAATTGATTTTTCAGTACGAGCATATTAAAGGCTCAGAATAAACGGAGGTCGGCTGAGTATTTTTGCTGAGGTCAGTGCAGTGGGGAGCAGTGCAATAGCCAGCGGCCATGTGGCCCCGAGAGGAGCCACGGTGCGCCCACCCGAGCGGGTCAGCAGTCCCAAAAGGACCAGGACAGAGAGGTGGCATCTCGCCAAGGTCCTGGCAGGGCACCCGCGTCCTGCTCTCTCGCAGCGAGCGGCGCCAGCCGGGCCGAGCGCACGGAGACACCGCGGGGCTCCCGGCTCCGCTGCCAGCGGCATTCCCGCTTCCAGAGGCTACTCCACACCGTGAACTACCCATCCGGGTACCTCGGAAACGCCCTCTTCCCGGCTTACAGCTTTTTTTTCTCAATGGGCTGGCAGCGCGGCTGGCGCCGGGCGGGGCGGGGGAAGGCAGCGCGGACGGGGCCGCTCCA